AGGTGAAACTAATGTCAGGCGGTGTTTTGAGCACCTATTATGCACCTGGCATGGGGCTGTCACACACTTCATGTGTCATCTCATGTTCCTCATAAGAGCCTTATAAGGTAGACATAGGGATTTTTATCCCATTTTATAGGTGAGAAGGTTGGGGGTGCAAAGTTGTATACTTCTGCAGGACTCAGAAAATGAACATGATGGGATTTGAGCCAGGTCAGTCTGAACCCCAACTGTGAGTCACATTTCAGTTGGCAGGAATGAAGCTGCCAACATGGACAGCCACAGGCCGACTTTTCAGTCCCCGATTACAGTTCATGATGCAAAACCTCCTACATGCTCCACTCCAAACAATTCTGTGCTTCCTCTCTCCTGATCCCATTTCCAATGGGTCCCCCTCAAAATCAAACTTCCCAACCTGCTCTCCAAGGTTCAAAACCTTTGGAAAAACAGCCCTAATACTTTTGCTGCCCTTTGGCAGAGGATCTTCTCCTCCCCTGGGAAAGTTTTTGAGGCCACAGCAGTAGCCTTGTTCTTCCACATTCCAAGTTTCTGGCCCCACAAACTACCCACCCTTTTTTCCAAGGCCTTTGGACAATTCTGCCTCATATGCTCTTTGAAATCCACAGAGACAGCAAATCTAAAAGCCAGGCCTTGGGGTTCCTCTTTCATCACCAATAATCCTGTCCACTCACTAAATTCCTGAGATCCATTCCTGAGATCACACCCTCAGCCTGTCCTTAGTCTTACTGGTCCCCCTTTGAAATCTTGATTCTGACCACAGCAGCTCTTTCAGAAGCCACCAATACAGCTCCAACTCCGCCAGGATTCCCTCCTCTGACTAGTTCCTTCCAGTCTATTAGGAGCCTCTTCTACAGTCCATGTCACATGGCCCTTTGATGATAGTAATTCTTATTTTCCATGATGTGCTGCTGCCTGTGACTGAAAAACCCCAGTGCTAAATTAATCTAATCATTGCTGTCTCTGTGCCTGTATTTTGGGTTGCTGAAAAAAATAAAATAAAAATCACAAGCCACATAGAAAATGGGCACTATGAATCTGTAATAGAGCTAACAGCAATAGTTGGATGCTTAACTATGCTTGGTACAAGGATTATTTCATGTTCAGAACAACTCCACATGGTAGCTATTAATATTATTCTCACCTGTACAGGGAAGAAGGTGAGTCTTTGAGAAGTTCAGAACATGCCTAGTGTCACAGAGTTGGGAGAATGACTTGGCCTGGATTCACATACAGGCCGGCTGGTGGCCCAGAGACTGGGCTGTGGTGTCACCCAGCATGACCTACCTCCACTGGCCCTTGGTCTTGCCCATACCTAGCTGGCTGTTTCTCTGGGAAGCTATCATTCTCCACAGTGCAATTTTAAACCTTCTTCACTCTCCTCAAACCACTGACGGCCCTGACTTTTCCCTTATTCTCAGCAGATGACTGTGTTTCCTAATTACAGGGAAAAATGGAAGCCATTGGGCCATGTTGCTTGTTCTCTTTCCACAAAATGTTCACACTTACCTGCATCTGCCGTCTTCCTTGCTTTCCTCCTGTTACAATGTGATATTTTCAAAAACAAGAAAAGACACAATCACGAGATAACAGGCATGTTTTCTCTAAGGGGAGAATGAAACCATTTTATTTAAGGGAATGTTAAAACAAAGCCATATACAATTTGTAACAAATACAATACAATTGTTTGTTCCCTAGTCCTGAATAATTACAGTATATACAAATCCGTAAGGCACTGGTTCCCCCCAAAGAACATAAATGAGTCTTCTGAAACAGACAGACAACAAAACCCCTATATATTCCCAACTTTTCTCCCCCAAACATGGCATTGTTGTGTTTGTTTTGTGAGAGGAATAATTGCTAAACTAAATCGCTTTTGATGCTACTCCTTTCATTCCCACTGCTATGGGACAGTTTCCTGAGGAGATATTAGGATTGAACAAACTCAAGTGTGGAAGACTCTCCTCTCTCTGCCTTCCAAGGAGCCAGAATGGGCCCTACATGAAACTCCAAAAGAAAATGCATGACACTAGGAGCACACAATTCGGCCATTAATTAAGTACATGCTATACTTGACTACACACCAATTGAAATGCAGAATCCAAAAATTCCCTTTAAATAAAACCCCAGCATGTTTTCTAAGAAGATTTCTTTTGGGGAATAAAAAGAATTATCATGAGTGACTTTTGAGCAGCGCTTCCAAGTCAAAGGCCGATCTCCTCATACATGATGCTCAGAGCACTTCACTGGTGAGTTAACAATCTATATGCTTTCATAAATAAATATTACGTTTCATTTAGTACTTTATCATCCATAATATTTTACTCTCTAATCCACATAATGGAGTTGTGCCAGACTCCAGGCTGAACATAATATTTATATATACATCTATATTTATAATAATATGTACACACATACATAAGCTATAAACCTGAATGTCTTAGCATACAAAGCTTATCTAACAACTAATAATTTAGGATTCCTTTGGGACAGAGGGGTTAGAAGAAAATAAGCAATCAACTACATGACTGTCAGGTTCTCACTCGTTCAATTGAAAGACAAAACAAAATAATAATAATAAAAATAAAATTCACTTAGCTGCTAGAAATTTTAAAACTATAAAGGATTATTGGGAGCTGAGTAGGTAGTCTTCAAGAACAACTTAGTATTACCTAAGAAAAGTATATTTTGGTAAGATACAGAGGAAAAAAAATCTATTCATAAATAAATTCTTGTTTCACTGAAATACTATCATAGCTATGTGGGTATTTTTAAATATTTCAGGAATCATTTTCAAATTTTCATAGTAAATAAATCAGGTTGAGGATTATAAAGTAAGCTATCAGTTTTCCCCAAAACAACCAAATGAACAACAAAGAAGAAATTTGGACACTATTTGAATTTCCTTCTATCCACTGGAACCCTAGAAATCTAGTTTACTTTTAAATCATAACCTCTCCACAAAATTTTCTCATTTGAAGTTATTGATGTTCAAGAAAAAGACAACACAGTTTTATCTAGAGGTGAACCCAACCTCACTTACATTTAGGGAAATCCAAGAAAAAAACACTATGCTCTGCTTAACTGGCAAAAATGCTTACTTACTTGTTTGTAGATGATCTGATTAGAGGCACCAAAGTTTCTCTCCAAGGCTCAGGTGATCATCACACTTAGTTCTAACCTTGTATTCCTTCTAAACTATCACAAAAAATATAATTTGACACAACAGACACGAACCTTTACATTGCTATTGAGGTTACTTTAATATCAGTAAGCAGCCTTCTGACTACAATTATATTTGGTACCAATTGTTTTTACTCCTAAGTTTTTTTTCAAACTCAAGGATTCAGAAATTGTTCTGAGTGAAAAACAAAACGTTGCTATGAAGAAACCCAGGGAAAAGAATGCAGAATGGAGAGTGCATTTCTCATGAGTTTCCTAAACCGAAAGCAGTCTCCCATGCACTCATTGCTTCAGAGTGTTCTCTGGATGAACAAGACACCAGCTGCAGGTCTACTTCAGAAGTGAGAAAAATATTTTCTCATTTTTCATGCAGCTGTCAATTTTTCAAAAGTTTTCCATCCTTCAGTCACCCGCTGAAAATGCATTAGAAAACACTGCCCCCTGGAGTATTCTGGAAGGAATGTCTTTTTTAAACACCAAGGGGGAAGTGCTGACAATTTTTTTTTTTAACTACTAAAGAAGCAAAGGAAAACCACAGTAAGGAAATGAAATGGAAAAAAAATTGAGAACAGTGTGCACAAATTAAAACTATTAGATTCTTGTTGCTAGGGAATATTGGCACTGTCGATGATTTTATTCCTATTGCTCAAAAGTTAAAATCCCGTAGAATGGTGTAAATGGAGAAATATTTTATGCAAGTATTACAGAGCAGAAAAACAATAATAAATTAAATAGTGAATTGAACATCACAAGAATAAAGTGAGCCAGTGATCTTAAGATGTGAAATGATCATTGAAGATGCCCATGTTAGATCCATATTTATTCTAGCATAATAAATCACAGCAGCCATAATATCTTGTGGTCTCCACTAACTCTCTTCTGCTATTCTATCTGAAGGTTATATTTATCTATTTTTAAATTAAAGTTTAATGAAATTAACCAGACAGATGCTTCCCCTCTATCTCTTAATTCAGATAAGAAAAAAGAACAAAAATAAACCATCCTTAACCATACAAAATAAGGTGTGCATACTTCTTTCCTTGTGCTTCTGAGATAGGCTCCTTTGCACATATGAGAAACAAGTCATCTGCACCCTCAGTGTCCTCCCTACCTTACTGACATGTTCTTACAACACAATAGCAAATTATTTTAGAGTACCTTGTCTTTAACACAACTCATGGCCATTTTATTTAATATTGATCTTTCTATTTGAGAGATCAAAAGCATGCACAGGTCAATTCTCTGCACATGAGAAAAAGCTTTGCTTGTGTTTAATGAAAAGGAAGGGATTTCACCATGAAAGAACAGCCGAACACAATCAGAGACAGAAGTGGTTCTGAAGAACACCCATCAACACTTCTATTACAGACACATAAAACCTTCATTTGTTCCATGTTGTCTGAAGCTGCAAAAGGCCACCTGCAGGAATTCCAAAACGTGTTCCCAGAAAGGTAGAACTTGTGCCCACATGCATTCACATTGTTGTGGCAGCCCCAAATTCAGGGCTGGCCAAAGTGGTAGGAGTAGGCCAGGTTGGGGGTCATCTTAAGATGAGTTCCATTCTATGTTCTCCAATTTCACAGACTGTCTTTTGTTAGAGTGCAACACATTCTACCAATGGAAAAACATATATTTTAATTTACCTTCCAACACAGTTTCTGGGAAGAACTTTCGTTATCATTAAACTATAATAGTATAAACCTTAAAACATATACAATATTTGTTTTATTTTGGCAAAATTAAAGCATCTTTTTAAAAAAATGGCAATCCCAACATACAGGGCTTTCTTAGAAAGCAACATGCATCGTATCTTGAATAAGTTACCCAAGCGGTTTCTCCCTCCTACAAACAGACACAGAGGAATCTGGGGTTCTGGGAACTTCTCTAGTCTATGTCCAGGCTGCTCCCTGAGAGGTAAGGTCTGAACCCACCAAGAAGCAGGACAACATTCGAGGCTTGGACTGCAGATGCTTCTTTAACACCTTTTGCTCTGCCCACAGCAGACGAGTATCTATTGGCCTTCGGCGGAGATGCTTCCTTTACCCTCATATCAGAGTTTAATGTCCTGAGACTCTGACATTTTGGCAAGTGTCTTCTTAACACGCAGGGCTGTCAGCCTTGATGCAGGATTGTGAGCCCAGCACTCTGTCATGAGTTTCCCCATCTGCCTTAGACACTGTGAAAAAGAGGAGGAATGTTGGAATAATGTTTAAGAAATATATTATCTGCAAAGCTGGCACTTGATATTTGTCTTTCAGTTTTGGGTTCATAAAATCTGAAAATAATTTTTAGATGTACCCTTAAAACTACATAGTAACAAAATTCCATTAAAATTCCTTCTTATGTAAAATGATAATAACTCAAAAAGATTTTCAGGTCTTTCTTGAAATAGGAGCAAGCAAATGTTTTGCTGATGGTACAGGGTCTATTTGAAGAAGTTTTGAATATTAAGCAAATATACAGACACCAAGAAAGTCTGTGTTCTATCCCACACTCCCAGATTGTTTATAAACTTGATAAGTTTAAATATTTCATCTAATTTATAATATTCAAACAAACATGGTTATTCCTAAACCACAGTTGCCTGCTACGATATTAGCATCACACTGTACCACTTAACAAGATTAATGACCTGTGCACAGTATCACTAAAACTTTCTCCTGTGTTCTCCCATGCTACATCAATCATTGGTCTTCTTATTGAAAAGCACAATTTCACTTCATCAGAAATACTTAGTGAAGGGATTCCAAATAACATCGACACCCATAACTACCTTTGAAATAATGTAACTCCAGCATTTCAAAATGCTTTCTGCACAGTTCATTGGAAAACATTCATATTATTTATCATTTCAGTGACTACATGCAAAGCCAATAAAACAAAGATTATTTTTCTAAGAATTTTACACTGAACAATTAGTTCATAGATAGTACTCTGCCTGCTTGATTGCACTGGGTTTGGTTCAATTTTGATAAGAGTCTCTTTTATTTCTCTGGGTGTACTTCAAATTCATCTCCAATGTTCCAGCATGCTGGAGAACTCTAGGGCTTGGACGAGTCGAAGGCACAGTGAGTGAAGGAAGCACGAGGGGCAGAGGAAACAGAGTCTGAAAGGCATGTCCTGCCCAATTCACTTTGTCCTTTCTGTTAGCTCCTTTCCAGAAATATCTGGGTTTTACCAGTAAGCCCTCGGAGCCAAACTGAATATGGATTTGTTTAGATCATATCTCATCATCCTTATTAACAATGACACTCGGTCAGGCAGCTCAACTAGAACCACTTGTACCACTTCATTGTACAGAAAGCTCAGCTCTTCAGATACCTGCCTTTTTCTCTCATCCAAATGGCAGAAAGCTATATCTGGGTTTGTTATGAAGAAAAATCACGATGCTTAAAGTATATTCATAAAAACAAATAGTAGCCTTTAGGCAAATATCAAGACTTCATAAATAAATGATATAATGTTATCTATTTTGTAGGCTCAATGTTGACCCACCCAATATATTCTGAAAGTGGCAAAATAAAATTGGAAGAAATGTACAGAAGATTCAGCACACTACACATAGCTCCATATAAATTATTGCAGTAAGACAGCATTATCATCATCATCAAAACAAAGAAGAATGTCACTAAGGGAATACTTGGAATTAGGGCAAAAGAGGAAAAGTCTATTGAGATGACCATGGAACACACAGTGACCTCAGGCCTTACCTCATCACTGCTCCAGCGATTGGGGAATGAGGGTCGTGACTTCTTGATGCACACAATCTCTCTCATGTCCTCGTAAGAGGGGTCAGTGGGCACCAGGTCATGATAGGGAAGCTGGTATTCTTCCACTATACCTGAAAATATGTTTTCAGTACTATTATTTTCTGTAAAGTGGGGGGAAAAAAAACTCTTAACAGACAAACTGTTCTCAAAGAAAATGACTATCAATATTAAATACAAGTTTAGGCCAACAAACAACAATAGATCTTGTGGGGGGGAGAAACCTTATCCAAATGGTTCTCAGCCTAACTTACAAAAAAATAAAACACCCAGAAGAAAATACTTTCATAGATCTTCAAGCTAATTTGCTATTTTTTTTCTAACTTCCAAATGCTAAGTGAAATGAACATATCAAAATTTCCAATTTTATAAAGACCAAATCTTTAAGACATTTATATTAAATCAATGCAAATTTGAAAAACACATCTTGAATTCATACTACATAATATGTGACTGTTTCTATTACTGTAATTTGAAATTAGGAATATCATAAGTTTGGTTGCAAAATGTCAGACATTTTTTTCTGCTTAATCATAAGAATGGAGTTTTTTACACATTAAATATTTGGAAAGTTGTATGTATACTGAAAATCTTAACAATATTTTTTAGGTTTAAAGATTGTCTAATTTTTATTTTCTCTTTATTTTTTTCTGTATATACTCGTCTATTTGATCTTTCCTAATAAGTAATTTTTACTTTTTTCAATCTGTCCTTTAAAAAAGGCTAGTGGTGTCTTTCTTTTAACGTTATCTGATGAACTCCTCACAATAATGCTAAGCAGCTCCTGTTCTCAGAGGATGAATGGATTCTCTTCTGAAAAATCTTTCCAGAGCACCGTTGCTCCCTATCCTAAATCACCTTTTATAGAAATGCTACTGCTTTTCACCTGACAAAGATGAAACCATCAAGTTGGCAGATTTTACGCCACATCAGAAAATCCACTGGAGGTTCACTGTGGCAAAACCTGGGTGTGTGTTATGCTCTTTTTTGTAACATCAAACCCATTCAAAATCATAAAAGACCATTCCAACCCACCATTTGTTCATCATTTGTGCCCCCCCTGCTGTGACAACTAAGCCTCTTACATGCATTGACTATGTTTCTATTTCCTTCCCTGTGCTTCTTTATCATCTCAGCATAAAAGATAATGAAAGCACAGGGTCAGACACATAGGAGATCAGCTTCTTTTCAATTTTTCCTCCCTTTATGACTATGAAGACAACGGTCCTGCAAACATCTTGAGGGCAACCACCAGATCTACTTGATTCATCTCACATTTCCCTCAGTGTCTAATGGTGGTGCCATTGCTTGGATGAATTGATAGATGGATGGATGGTGAGGCAGGAATATAAACTACAATAGATACCAGCAGAACCAATCATACAAAATTATGAGTCAATCAAATTCTGACTTTGAACATAGACCTTACTTCTTTCTCTTTATCATGTAACCAAGTTATCAAAATTTCCATGTGAGCTGCCATTTAATTTTGTGGTTTATTTTCTCTTTCCCCACTACTTCCTTCTCAAGTTTGAAAGGCCTACATCTGATTATGTCTCCTTCATCCCAGATTTCCTGAACTAGAAAGACAAACTCCCCAGTCTTCCAATATCTTTATAAAACTTCAAAATGTTACAGAACAAAAATTACTGTGCTTTGCCTCTCTGGAAAAGAGAAAAGAAACATTATTTTTTGAGAGCCCACTTAGACCAAGCATGCAGGTAGGTATGCTGTATAATTCATCTGATTAAATTCTCACAAACACATTCATGAGAAAGGATTACTACACACAAAGAGGAAACTTGGTTCCTAGGGCTTAAAAAACTTGCTCAAGGCCATGCAGTTGGCCTGAGGCAGAGCAGGGACTTTTTCCTCTGAGAAACAAGTTGATCTCCTGCAGGGATATTTCTCAAACCTCTACCTGCAAAGACAACCCAGGCAAAGCAATTAAGACCCTGCTGTGCACATAAAACTAGTTTGTTTCTAAAGCTGGGGATCATTTCTTCTCTATTTGACATAAGGCTTTTCAAACCTAGACTTCTAGTTTGTAGACCTATTTGCTTTAGATGTTCAGGAAAACAAAAGTAGAAAGTCATCTTGTACTCTACTATACCTTTAACATCTATAAAACTATTCTAGTTCAGTGCAAGCAGATTATTCAAAAATAAATTCCCCTCCTACTTACACAACATGAAATCAAGGCAAAAGCAATTAATCTATTTATGTTTTGGCTACTTCTCTTCTTCTTCATACTTACAACAGGAGATTTAGTCAATAGCTGGTTATAGTAAATTTCTTGTATTCACTTTCTTTTGTACAAACAGTTTTCTCATTTCAAAGGGAATGTGTTCTATTTCAAATTGCTTATAAAAGGCTCAGAATTCCCAAGGTGATTAGAAGGCACTGCATTATTGAAGGTGATTTTTCTACATCTATATGTATGAATGTTTATCCATTAACTGCTTCTTGCTTTTATTTAATTTAAATACAAATCTGCATATATTATGGCTCCACCAACCAAAAAGAAAATTAATAGTATGTATTGCTAACAGAGTGCCATTTATGTGCCAGGTGGTTTTAATTCTCTTTACATTCATTGAAACAACACAACTGTCTGAGGTACATACAATAATAATATGCCTCATTTTTAATAAAACACTGAATCAAAGAAAAGTTTAGCAACTTTCCCAAGATGTCCCAGATAATAAAGAGCAGGTAAAGGAACAATTTCTAGTAATAGTTATATGTACTTTCACAACTTGGAGCAAGTTCATGATTACATGAAGCATTTAAATTGGCCATGTAGAGGAACCACAGCAGCATCAACCTTTTTTCAGGAGCACAACCATGTGCAGAATAATTTACAGTGTATATTTTGTACTTGACCCAGAAGAGGATAATACTCTGTTACCTAAAAGGAATCAGAATCTACTAGAAGATGATAAGGTAGCAGTAAACGAAAACAGCACAACCAATAATACTTCTGAATATTTAAGGATATCTTTTTGATATCAACTATAGTTGGTCTTTTAGGGAATCCCTATGCTTGTAGAAAAATTATCATAAACAATAACAATATTCTGATGCTTTAATTTTCTTTTGCTAAAAATCAATGTTTAAAAATTAGTTTACAAGAAGTTTTATAGAAAATAAAGAAATAGAGAAGTTAATGAATGGGTGTCCCATCCGGAGGTTATGTCTCCACAGTAATCTCTGCAGAGGAAGCACAGGAGATGGGAGACTGGGGTTGGGGAAGGAGCTGACAGGTAGGTGAGAAAAGGCTGGTAGGAAAGAGGATTGACATGAAGGAGAACTTCTGGAGGAAAAGCCCAAAAGAGAAATGAGACAATACACAGAGCAGCAGAAGACATTCTTTGAGAAGATAGGAGAAGTTAACAGAGTGTTTAGAAGAGATTCTTCAACAGCAGATGGAGGGAAGGAGGCAAAGATTACTCTGTCAAATATCATTCCCTGGTAAGATTGTGACACATAAACTTCTTTATAAAAAGGGAAATAAAAGAAAACCTTATTCTGTAGACAATATGACTTTGATTTCTGATCAGCAAGAAAGGATTTGCAGTAACTCTCATAGTAGTTTTTCAGAGACATCACGGTTTCTTACCTCCTGAAACACATCTCCGAGCAACCTCCCAAAGGATGAGTCCAAAACTGTACATATCAGCCATGATGTAAGACTGAAAGTGGTTTCTATTCAAGCTCTCATCCAACACCTCTGGAGGCATGTAGCGCTTGGTGCCAACACGAGTGTTGGGTGGTATGTCAACTTCATTTGTATCACTAAGGAAAGAATAAAGCAGAGTGTTATCAATAGCAAAGAGGACCCTCAAATGACAGTTTGAAGTGATGGTTTTAAATAGGGCTGTAGTAGATGGTGAGAAAAGAAAACCTTGGTGGGAAAAGAAAACCTTTTGGGGAATAAAAAATATTTCTTTGAAAAATAATTCTTGCCAGAAGTTATAGCAAAGCTCACAGGTAAAAACCCAATGCAGATGAGACTAAATCAGCATGAAACTATAACAGAAAAAACTGCATTACCACTAGATCAAATTTAGACTCTAACCCACTGCTAAATATCTAATAATTAAAGTTTTTAAAATACTTTATATTTTAATAGTTTTGTATTATAATTGGTATGTGCACATAACAACTTGGTTTGTTTAAGACAGTTGTGTGTGTGTGTGTGTAGTGTAGTACTAGGGTTTGATCTCAGGGCTCTGCGTGCTAGGGTAAGCCCTCTCCCACTGAGCCACACCTCCAGTCTGAGAGAATTATTATTTTTTTAAGCCAGGTGTCATGAGGATTTTTGATGTCACAGATGATCAATACCAAACTTACGGAAACACTAGCAGGTTTGGGGAAAACAACAACACCTGGGTTTGATCTTATTGCTTCATTATCTACTAAAACATAAAGCATGTGGCATCATTTGGGAAAATGTAAAGTATGGCAGATGTCGCTCTGTAGCTCTCAAATGGTTTGCATTCACTAAAACATAACTGTAAAGGTTTTTAATAAACCTTCTGAAATTCACTTCTAGATAAAAATCTATTCCAAAAGATAAAAACTATTCCCAAAGATACGTCACCAATATACTCACCAGATTTCTTATGGTTTTCTAGGAGTAACAAAGAACCTATCTTCATAAAATGAAAGTTAAGATATAAATTTATTTAGCAGCAGGTATCCCTTATCATCTTACATTGTCTTACATTTAAGACAAACAGGTCTTAATGTACTGGGTTCTTTCCTAAGACTAGGAAGAGATGCTAAAACATTAATTTTCAGATGAGTACAGTAGAAGGAAGGGAGCAGGAGGAGGGGAAGGAGAGGTGCTGGGGGCTGAATTAGAACAAGATATATTCCATGCTCTTATAATCATGTCCAAACGGATTCTACTGTCATGGATAACTAAAAAGAACCAATAAAAACATTAACATTCAGTAGTTACAACATAATACTAAAGAAAAATTTGTCTGTGTATCGAAATAGTAAATAAGGGAGGAAAGTGTGCCAAGAGGAGACAATGACAAACTGGGAAAATGTCAGCTGAAAAGACACTGCACCAGCTCCACCCCCAGTTACCAGGAGAAGACCTTCTCTCCGGCTCTACCTGCCCACACCCCTCATGTGAGCATACAGCAGGTATTTCATTAATATGTTTCTGAATGTATTATAATTTATCACTTTTAATCACTAGAATGGTGGCCCTAGGTAAGGAAACCTGGGTTCAAGCAGAGAAAATAAACAGGGGTTTGCAAATGAAAAGAAAATGGTTAAAGGCTTTAATATAAACCAGAACATGTCCTGAGAAAGCCATCTAAGAATAGTCTTCAAGCAGGCATTTGCAAAGGTCAAAGTTATATTCTGACCACAGTGGATAAAGATCTTGGTAATTACACTCCCTTCCAACTCTTAGCTCCTTCATGTTTATTTGGACTTGAGAAGTCAGGAAGTGGCAATGGAAAGTGTGATATGGAGACATCTGCTGGAGAACAGAAAAGTAACTTCTACCTAGGGAAAGAATCAGGATGGGTGATGGTGAGACTATATGTAGTTATCTCTCTCTTTTTTTTTTTCCTTCAAACACTGCAAAAACATATAATTAAGAATTCTGGTCAAATGCAATAAAAGCCAGTTCCTTCCACCAGTCACAAAATCTCAGCATGGCCATTCCTCCTCTTCTTCCTCCCCCATACCTGGTGTTTTTCCAAATAGAATTTGAATAATATCCTCCCTAAATAAATATCTTCCCTGGTAGTATTTGAATAAATAATCATTTCCAATGTAAGATTATGAATTCCTTCAAGCCCCCAATATCTGTCATCATCATTTGGTACTTCCCTAAAGAGGGGAGGTAGCCCCAGTCCACCTCCACTCATGGTGTCTCTTGCACATGTAGGAAAACAGTATACTTGAAATGAAAGAAGGAAAAGGCCTGTTTATGGCCATCTTTGCTATGGATAATTTAAAAAGAAAGGCTATACAAAGACCATGAAATGAGAGGTTATCAATATCCAGGAAAATAAATAGAATTTCACTGAGCAAATTAATTTTGTAGAGAATTACTACTGACCTCATGGTAAACGCCTTTAGCACTACATTTAAACAAACGTGTTAATTTTAAATAATTCATGTCTGATATTACGAAGTAGCAGACTCTCTAAGACATAAAGCTCTGCCCTTCTTCCCTCAGGCATGTATCTATGCTTGAAAGTAATTAAACTGCATTTCTTAGGTTTTTCAGTAACATCACTTTACCTATTCTCAAATAATTGCAGAGAAAATGTGACCTTGTATTAATTTTCAAGGCCAAAATTAGAAATTAAAATGATTTAATATGGGGGCATCAAGAATTAAAAGAACACAAAAAGAAAGTAGAGTCAGCTTGGGTAAGACATTTAACAGAGTATAGTGTGACAGAAGAAAAGGCCCAGGGGAAAGAAAAGGCCAGGGTGCCTTCAGCCCACTCCAGCTCCTTTCCCACAGAGGAGTGTGGAGCAGTCAGAAACCAGGATGGCAGGACATTGATCACAGAAGAGGTACAAAGGCAGAGAAAATAACCACACACCCACAAAGTAGTAGTTCTATGCACTCTAGTAGCCACACACATTTGTAGTCAGATTAGAAATCTGTACAGCCGAAAGATAAACAGGAATTGGTTCCTTCTGGGAGGGACAGAAGGGACTGACATAGGGAAGGGAATGACCCCAGCAGTGCACTCTCTCATGCCTACACCTGGTGACTGGCCCAGCATACCTCCAGCACAGCACAGGGGGGCTATGGTGCATGGTCACCACAGGTGTCGGTGTTATGGCCAGAGGGACATCTGGGACTGCAGAAAGCCTGGAAGTGCAGCAGCCACTCAGGACCCTAAGCAGGTGGGAGAACAAACCATGAGCACCCACAGGACATGCCTTAGGTGCTTAGTCACCAGGCCCTGGGTAAAGGGAAGCCAAAGATTTGAGTTTGGAGACAGGGAATAAAGGGAAATTTAAAAGAACAAAGCATCAGTATGAGTTGTATTTTATACTGAATGATTCTCATTAAACTTCCAGATTAGAAGTGTTATATAAAGGGAGACGCCTCTGCTCAGTTCAGCACACAGCACATCCCTATAGCACCATTCCCTGAGGAAAGAGCTTCATGAAGGTCTTAAGCAGAGCCCACATGACAACAGAGGCCATCACAGGAGCAGAGTGCTTAGCTGGGAGGAGCAGGCTCCTCCTCATGATACCTTACCTGAAACAGGGAGGGGAAAGGGGAACTGGGGGGATAAGAAGGTCATAGAGAAAGACAGGAAAAGTAAATAATGTATACCTTTAATAATCTAAAACTTTAGAAGAACATGTGAAACAAGGCTGGGTGAGAAGACCTTGTGTGTGACTTACTAGAAATACCCTCCCCCAAAGTGTGAAAGAGTCTTAGAAGCTTACAGCAGGGCTGTGCTCTTTCCTTCATGTTTCCCGAAGCACCCTGTCAATTGCCGTGGAACTGATTTGCTCACTTAAACTCTGCCCATTCTGATGCTCACCAATGAGACTTTTCCGTAGCATTTTTCATTGGGTTCAATGCTGCTGTGATTAAATTCTGAGAAATCTCCGGGTTTCTTAGAAACAGAACTTTGGAACTAAAAATTCTCTGGCTGCAGAAACCTGGGGAGGAGTGCTAAGGCTGCCACTAATGAGTTTAGTTCTGTGACATCTGCGAGTCATTTAGCCATGTCACTTTTTTAAAAAACAACCTAGTAAGTACAGAAACCAAAGCAGTGCAGAAAATAATGACATCAGAAGGACTCGGGAAATTCAGTCCCTGCTGGGCTGGGCCACCCATCTCTTTGACACTTGGACAACTTGACAATCATCTGCTGAGAGATATCTGTGTGACAGCCTAGTCTTCACTGTAGATTTTCTATTTAAAATTTAATACCTGAGAGGGCCTGAGTCAGGATTTATTTTCCTGCTAAGAAAATATCTTATTCTGACATGGAAGCACCAGAGGGGATGCTTGATTCTCCAGAGTAAAACATTAAAAACTGTGTAAATTCCTTCACGTCTCATTGTTTTCTCTCCCCAGGAGAGATCCAGGGTAATGGTGATATCTGCCAGGGCATCACCTGAATTAAATCTGAGTTGAGCAGGATATGCATCAGCACTTAGGTCATTGTCAAAAGAGTGCAGGAAGAACTGAACACAGGGCAAAACAGTTCTAGGAGCAGGAAATGTCGTAAGGCACCATCGGCTCTCTTTGGACTCTCCACTTTCCTGGGAACCTCCAGAAATGATTGAAGAAACTAAGAGACCACTTGCCATAACGGAGACACTGGAATATAGATTGTTTTCATAGGAAGTTCGCATATGAAGTCTGAAAATTCAGCACTGGATTTGCTATGACTCTATTTGCAATAAAATGTTCTAAATATCTGTACATGTACACATACACAAAATATAAAAGTAAAAAAAAAAAAAAAAACCCAATAGAAACCAAAGGGACATATAAAGAAAGGCTTAAAATTTAGGCCACAAACTGGAGGTGCAAACTTTGAGATGTAGGAAATAATATGAACAGGACCTTTGAAATGATCAAATGTAAGCTCCAATTAATGGAAGAAGAAACTGAGGTTTAGAAATGTGAATGAGCCCCGCTAATCTTTAGCTATATGAATCTGTGTAACATCTGAGTCAGGGCCACATCTCTCTGCTCCCTTGATGAACTAGCCACTAAATGCCAAATAAATCTCTGAATTGTCCCTTAAAGTAGTTCCCCTCCACTTCCTACAATCAAGGTCCACATAAAATTTGAGAGACCATTCAGTTCATTCCCCTTATGTTAAGCAAAACTAAGTTTCAGAAACATAATAGATACTCTGTTTGTTTGAAGATTAGGTATCAGTTAATTTGCTATTGCCTACATTTATTGATTTAAAACAAAATAACAATACTTACAATAATGGGTAACGTGTTATACCATATTAAATGGGAAAAACATTAATAAATTTTGGCATAGATCCTGCTCTCAAGATGCCCAATGACTAGTGGGAGAGATGAGGCATGTAACAAAATAATTATAATACCAGGCAGACAAGGGCCAGGAAATTACTACAGGAGGACAGAAGACAACATCATTATTTCTAACTGGGGGTGAATAAAGTAGCTTAGAGGCACCTCTGAGATTAAAGTACATGGAGAAGCAGAGTCATTTCAAGCCAGGGAATGTGTAACCAAATACCAGGCAGTAGTAAGCATGGGGAATTATAAGGAGAAACTGCAAGCAACTCAGTTCTGTAAAAGTATATAAATTGGAGTCTGTAGAATATAAAACCAGGAAGGTGGATTTAATGCATAATGTATACGATCTCTGGAGCTAGAGAAAGGTGTTTCTTCTTCATTCTGTGGTCCATATGGAATCACTCATTTATCTATTAAATAAAAATTATAAGCAACACCTTATAATGGAAGGTACTTGGATAGAAATTTGAAAAAATATATGTTATCTTTCTTCAAAGGGATTACTCTCTATTGGGAGGGACAGATAAATAGTCAACGATCACTATAAAGCAGAGTGAGAAGTATCATAACAGGTGCAGGGTCACCCTGGAGGTATACAAGAAGATGAACTAAAAATAAGACTTGTATGAGAATAGCAACAGAAGATATCTCTAAGGAAGAAACTGAAGACCAGCAGTAGTTCTGATGGAGGAGGGGATATGAGTATTCAGACAATAAAAGCATTTAAAAAAAAATAAACTTGGGATATGAACATATAAAGGGTTCAGAACAAAGACAGCAAAAGTAAATAGTGTGCTATGAACAGGACTCACCAATAGTCCAGAATCAGTAAAGAAAGAGAGGCCACTGTAACCAAGGGACTTTACGTATTAACCCAAAGCCACAGGAAACTGTGAAATTATGATAATGTCCAAAATTATACTCCAAGAAAATAATGTCCAAAATTATACTCCAAGCATGCATAAAAGATTGAATAGTGGAAAGACAAAGAGGAAATAACTGCAAAATGCTTGACTCCTGAGTCTAGAAAATTGGTGTCGAGGGCCCAAGCTGGCCAGGGACAAGTGGGAATTTCATGAAGACAGAATTCATTTGTTAGAAAAACAAAAAGTTTGGGAACAAAAGAAGATGTTAGATATCCTAGGTTTAGGATGGTTTGGCAAAACTAAGAACTAGAAGAAAGAACAAGAAATCACAGAGGTGGAAAGTATTTAAAAAGCAGGTAAGAAGACCCAGTGGGAGAGAGAAGAGGGAACATGCAGTAAAAAGTGTCATGAAAAGAGGAGGAGGGGAAAGGCTTGGGTGCTATGGACCGTGGGATGGGAAGGGGATGCGGCCACCTGGTGACAAAGACAAATGGTTGTCTCACTAAAGAAGTGTCAGGAGGGGATGAAACAGAAGCCACATTATATGACATTAAAAATTACTAGGCTGGGAAAGCAGATTACCCTTTGTACCTCTATGGAGAAATTTAACAGAAGAAGGAGGGAAAGGTTAGTAATGTGAAGAATGCCATGGTGTGTGCATGTGTGTGTGTGACTTGAAAAGGGCTACAGGTCATTAAAAAGAACTCAGAAGGAAGAGGGGATGTAATAATCTTTATTGGCAGGAGATTCATATTTCTAACTTAAATCTATAGCCCGAAGCATTTCCTTTGTTTTTAAAGATCAGGAACTTTAATTTGTCATGTTTAAATGGTAAAGACCTTCTATGTTTGGGGTTCATTATTAAATCACACTGCAGCCTTTACTTCCAGGTGGAAATACCAACTCATCCGTCCTTTCTTGTGAATTTTATTTTCCAAAATTTTCATCATTCCATGGCTTTCCCTCGAATCTAAACTGAGCTTTCAAAAAGGCAGGTAGGTATATGATGGTTCTTCTGCGCCAGTGGTACCCAAACTCATCTTGGCTGTTTTGTTTTCAGAACAGAGGAACCATTTCTAATTAAATCATCCTGGAAAAAAAAAGGAGCCTTTCCACTTAAAATAAAGTCCCAATTGGGCCCATCTGCTCTACATTGTGTAGACCAACCAGCCAAAAGGGGGTCTGAAAACCACTGTAAATACACCCCGGTTTATGTGCCCAAGTGTTATATTCATCGTTTAAACTACAGTAGAATAGTGCTGAATACTGGGTGTATTATATAAGTTTCTAATATTTCTTCTTAAACACTCATGCAAGTTATCTTCCTATTCTCCATTAAAAAAATTAAAAATCAAAACAAAACAGGGCCTTTCTCATTATATAACTGATAGCTCTTTCCTTAAACTTTTTCCTATTTACAAATGTTACACAGAATTCTGACAACAGATTCCCAGGCATTAGCTACCTCTTTTCCACAGAAGAGAGGTTTACAACAGTTGCAAATCTAACATCAACAGTTTCTAAGCCGGGTCCCTGATAAGCACAGAAATGAGGAGTGATATTTTTGCCCTCAAAGAAAAGCTGGTATTAACGAAATGCCTCACCTACTAAATATCCTACAAACACTGAGCTACAGAGTGAATAATCTTTTAAAATGATAGAAAACAATCATAAAAAGCATATTTGTTCACATTGATACTAACCTAATAAATTTAACAGCCAGGCCCAGGTCAGCTATGCAGCAAGTTCCATTTTTCTTCACCAGGATGTTCTTACTTTTCAGATCTCGGTGTGCAATCGCTGGTTTGCCTTGAGTACTGAAGATTTCTGTGTGTAAATGACATAAGCCACTGACAGAAGAGTAGGCTAACTTCAACATGGATTTAGTGTCTAGGGTGGTGGACTTTAGGTAATCATAAAGGGAACCGTTTTCATGATAGTCTGTGATGAGGTATAGCTGGGTCCAGGACCCAGTCCCTTTGATATCTGCAGCAATGAACCCTAAAACGAAAAGAGACAAAAAAGATTGGAGGTGTTTTCTCAATAAAATTTAGAATAATTCACAGTCTCAAATATGATTCTTTATCCAGAGATGTCGTTTTTTTTAGCATTTCACTAAGTTTTTCGATCATGTCTGTGGTGGTATTAAATTACAAATAACAATCAGACACACTTGAAATTGTAGAGATGAAGAATGATTAAAAGTTTACGTCGAAAACATGACTCCTTTCTGATCAGTAGATGACATTTAAATTCCTTTATGATGTTAAAGTGACATGAACAACATTGTTTACAAAACCCAATCTTGAGTTAAGATACACACCGCACTGATCAGTTTGCATTCACCCTTCCGTGATGCAGACAGACCATGTCTGGCCTAATAGAAAGTCAATCAATTCTTATCATAAATTCTTGACATAAATAAACCCTGCAGATAAAATGCCCATAATTTTTGACATTTAAAAAAATACATGCTCCTTCAAATCCTAAGAAATTCTGGTGTTGCGTTTGTATCTCCAGTTTCTGAAGGAAAAACATTTGAGAGCATTCCAAGTTCAGCCTGCCATCCATTCACAGGAGTGTCTTGGTCATTCCGCCTGTGAGGCCTCCCACTAGAAGCTGTGGTCTTGGGCCAATGCCAAGAAGACAAGCTCTACTCATCTATACATTTCATAGAAAATGTACACAGACTTTCATAGGCAGATGTTGCCGGAAAGACCAAGGGAAGCAGAAAACCCTGAGCACCGCTGTATAGACTTACCCAAAATGTTTTCATGCCTCATCAACACTGTCTGATAGATTTCTGTCTCTCTGAACCAGCTGGCTTCCTCTGTGGTGAAGAACACTTTCACAGCTACCTTTTCGCCACGCCACTTTCCCATCCAAACTTCCCCATAGCGACCTTTTCCAATCTGTTTCACCATCTGAATCTGCTTAGCTATAGTCCTTTGGACCTGTGAAATCCCAAAACACTCTTGTTAGTGTATTCATGGCACTACAGATTTGTTTAATGTTTTTTTTTTTTCTTCCAGAGAAGAAACGATTAGTGCATGAAAATATATGTAGTCAGGATTTCTCTTTATATAGATGAGATATAGAAGAGTTATTTGTATTTATTTATTAATTTATACTATTCCCTTTTAAACCTATTTGAGATGGTTATGGATTCTGAATGCTCAACATATTGCCTCCAAATTATTAAATATTTCATTCCTCTTATTGTAATGTTTACAGAGGAAAAAAAAGTGAATGGGTTCTCAGCTAATGGTAAAACAGAATATTTTGACTTCCCCACTATACTGGGTTCCTGGCTTCTCTGAAGGAACTCTTGCCAATGTATAACAATCACAGATACATTAAGATGAAACAAAATTATACTGTTGGGCACATGAGGAAAAAAAAGGAAGAAAAAAGGGAAGAAAGAAAAAGGAATAGAAAGAAGGGAGGGAACTGAGACCAAAGCAAGGAACAATACACATTAAACATACAGAAGAGCCAGACTGCTGTCTGGCAGAGAATAATACCAGTGCTGGGATCCAGAATCTAAACACTGATTTTTTTTAAGGTTATTTTATTTATTTATATATGACAGCATAATGCATCACAATTCTTATTACACATAGGGAGAACAATTTTTCATATCTCTGATTGTATACAAAGTATAAGACCTCAAACATTTTTTAAAACTAAGGGGACTTAACTCTAGTGTCGGGGGCCACCTTGTTCAGGAGCTATGCACACATCTTTACTTAAGTCCTCAGTAGAGAAGTACTGGAGTGGTATTGCACCCTGCAATGCAACTGGACTTTACCTCTACTCTGATAATAAAGGTGTAGCTCTAGGAATGGGCATTACCTGATGGGGTTGAATTACACCCATCTGCTTGTTGTAATCCTACCCTTCTGCCCTTTTTTGGATAGACTGTTCCATAGATTCGCTCCCTCCATTAATAACATCTGGGTTTGAGGTGTGCTCCCTCTCTCTCTTGCCTGCCTTGCCTCCTTAGTGGGAGCTGATCAGAGGGGCCATCACGGAACCCAAAGAAAAAGGTAATTCTCTGTCTGTGTGTCATTATTTTGTGCCAGCCCAGTTCTCCTGGAGTGACCCTGACCCATTTAGTCATGTGCCAGGGCAATTCTAGGACTTCGGCATTAAGCTAAAACCATGGAGCAGTACTAAATTTGATCTAGGTGGGGCACATGTCATGGCTCTTGGCGAAAAATGAACATAAATCCTCTCTAGAGGAAATCAAATGCCGAATACTTTTCACTCCACAGTCATGGTGGGATCATAGTATTTTGAAGAAACTCTTGTGATCACATAACTTGACTGTAATACACTGTTGGACTCACAATAGAGAAAACTTCCAAGGTGGTGGGGAGGAAGAGAACAACAGGAAAAAAAAAAAAAGAGGAGAAGAGGAAAAGGGAGAGAAGATCCAACAGAATGAATTCCTTAAAACAAAAGACAAAAGGAAACAGCCACTGTGAGTCCATATTAACACAGCAAATGAATTTAACTCAGTCAGCTAACCTATTATAATTTTCAGATACAGAATTCCAACTAACTAAATGAAGTGTTTAAGAAACAGAACAACAAATGAAAAATAAGCAAACAAGAAGAGATTATTGAAAATTACACTTTTGAAATAGAATAGTTAATTGTCACAATTAAAAATGCAAAATGGACAGGCAAAGCAGCAGATTAAAGAGAAACGTTAATGAGAGAAAACTAACGAGCTGAAGAGAAAGTTATTTAACAAGCTGTAAGACAGCTCCGAAGAATTTTAAAGAATGCAGTAGAGCAAAGAAAAAGAAAATAAAAGTGAAATCAAAGTTAAATGTCCCTGTACACATAATTTTTCTCCAATCGATACTTACAAAAAAGGATATTTTAAGAAAACTGATATTAATGGTTCCATAACTGGAAGGCCTAAACATCTCTGGTAATTTACATAATCTATAAAACATTCATAAAGAATCCAAAGAACTCTAGTAAAATCTGATCAGAAAACTACAATGTACTCATGTACAGATATGTTTTATATTGAGTAAAACCCTAAGTTTTCCATTTTGTTTTTGCAGTTTTAACTCTGTACAATAACAATGAACAGCCCAAATAATCCAAATAACCTCACCTCACATTCAGCAGATCAGCAGCCTTAATTCCCCTTTGTCTTTTATCATAACAGATCCTAAGGATTAGGGTATGGAAATGGGGGGAGGCATTATTCCACCTACCACAGATGTCTACAACAGGGATCAGTTCTTGGTGTTTTTTTTTTTTTTTTTCATAAGGTATTTTATCAATTCAAAAGGTAATGTTATTCATTCCCCAAACCGTTATTGGCACTGATAACAAACTGAAAGCTTTTTGGGAAAAGTCTGTTTCTTTAAAAGAATTTAAAATAAGAGAATTACTGATATACTATAAAGCCATGAAGCCAAATGGAAATAAGCAAGCAAGTATGTACACACAAGCAGTCGCCCTCCATTTAGCAGCCAAATGTGTTATGCAAGGAAACCTTTGGTATACCTCCATCCCCAAACCGTTTGACAGGAGCTTCAAGAGCACTGAGCAGCTGGGAGCCAAATACATAAGCAGTTTAATTACTCACTTGACAGGAAACTTGCCACATCTATTAAAGAGAGATTGTACTCGATTTATAGATGTTACAAAACATTGCTTATGTAAATCTGTGAATATTCCCTAACATAAACAGTTCTGCATCTGCTTCTTTTCTAGTGATAATACATCTTCTTTAATGAAAGTACTGACAGCATTGGCAAAGCCTGATAAACTAGGACCAACTTATCTTCAAGATAATAAATTAACATTCAGGAATTTAAAATGCACTTATATTTTGGGATTATAACATCTAAGGGCATGAAAATATAACTTGAAATAAAAACTAATTTGAGTTTTTATTTGATTTAGCAAATATTTCTGGTCTTTTTGTACTTACATTTTCATTCTATATTATATTGGTAGACATCAATATTTGAAAGTTGGGTGTACAGATAAAATATCTTGCTGTAGTTTAGATCTTAAGTGCCCCTCAAAGGTCAATTTGGTGCTCTTGGGAGGAGGTGGAAACTTTTAACCGATGAGGCCTACTGAGAGGAACTGAGATCATTGGAAGTGTGCCTTCAGAGGGGATTGTGGAGCATGGACTCTTCTTTTCTCTCTTTTACTTCCTGACCATGAGATGGGCAGTTCAGGCACTCCTGTCATGATGTGCTACCACAAGCCTGAAGTAACAGGGCTAACTGACTGAAATCTCTAAAATGTGAACCAAGAGAAACCTTTTCTGTTTACAAGTTGATTTCATCTTACATATAAATGAGAGTCTAAAGAAGAATTATTTCATGTGCACTGGATACAAGTGAATGTATAAGGATTTGTAAAGAGCTATAACTATTCCAGGATTAGCATCTTACTTAATGATCTGATAGTGTCTAATGTTTAAATCCATGTACCATATGGACGGCCAAAAATACGTATCTGTTAATAATGTTGCCTAGTCTCTCCTGTGTCTCTAAATGAGCAACACACACACACACACACAAACACACACACACACACACCACCCCTCTACAAACAAATATGTGGCTTAAAATACTTCACTTAATAAGGCTGTGTTAATAATATGTATGGGAAAGATTTTCACAAGACTCCTCCCTAAAGAGCTTTAATGTTCAGTTAGAAAAATTACCTTGTGCTCTTTACAAAATCAAAAAAATAGAATATAAGTATCAATAAGTTATTACGTATTAAATACATACTATATGTATGTTAAATAATATGCCAGGAATTGTGATGTGTGTGTGTGTGTGTGTGAATACATGTGCATCACACACAGAGAACAGAAACATACACTATCTTAATTCTTTCAACAACTCTGATATTCCTTCTCTTTAAGGAAGAAAGAAATAGATATTTTATGTTAAAAAAAGGAGAGGACCCCAAATTAAAGGATATAAAGTCATCTGGTAAACATTAGGTCCACATATGTGTTAAGGCATGAATTTTTCTTCCATTAATGAGATAAACAACAAATCTATACTAAGGTGAGATATTCATTTACACAATAATATATGGAGAAAAGACCATATACTTCAGCATATTTTAATCTGAAAAACCAAATCCTAAAACCAGATATTAAAGTTGTAATGCTGAGACTTTATTTGTTTATTCTTTTTTTACTGACAGGATTTTATAGAACCCTCCTTCCTTATTTCTCCTATCAAATGCATTTCTTTGACTTATTGAACATTTGCTTCCTATCTTCCAAAGGTTAAAAGCACAGATTTTAGGTTCAAATCCTGACTGGGTCCCATCATTCTGAGTTTAAATCCTTACTTTTTCACACACCAATTAGTTGGCCTATTTCTGTTGTATCCCCTGATGTGAAATGCAAGGATATATTTCTAGTACATTCATGTGCTGTTTATCAAGGTTTTGGTCAATGACAGACTGCATATGTAATGATGATTCCATAAGACAATGAATTTGATTACTGATGGAAGAGCTTGCTTAGTTTGTATAAGAACACTCTGTAATGTTCATACAATGATATCATCTAGTGATGCATTCCTCACAATCTGTCCCTGTCATTAAGTGACACTTAGCTCTATTACATCACAGGATTAGAATGAAGATTAAATTGGAATATATGTAAAGGCCATTGTCTAGACTAGACAACCCAGGCAATGTGGCTTGAGGATTTGTATGCCTAATAATTGTATGATATAAGGAAAATGTCATTATTCTGGTATCTTGATTATAGAAACAGTATCCTTATAGACTGCCAAAGTAGGAACCGAAAGCTTTCTAAAACAAATGACTGAGCAGCCCCTTAATGAATCAGACATTCTACTGGAGATTCAAAGTGAATAAAATATAATCTCCACCTTCAAACAGGACCCAGGTCACCAAAACACACAGATACATTAACATTAATTGTAACCTTATTTTAAGCAGCCATATTAGTATTAAAAGGAAAATATTATGATAAAAGTCAAAATAAATTGGCTCATTCTTGGGTAACTGATAAGTTGTGAGTTAAAATGTGAAGTAGGCCTTGGCCATAAGTTGGAGGAATGTTCCATAAAGAGCTTACATTTGTAAAGATGTGGACATACCTGGTTTTCAAGAAGTAATTACAGAAAGGTCATTGTGTTAAAAAAAAAATGATAGTTATTGACAAAAACAAATTTCAAGTACAGGTCAAAGAAAAATAAAAATATATTGCTTTATATATGGAGAATTTACATGGGTGGCAAGATGATGTTTATCTTCCTTAAATGCAGAGATTTTTCATATATAAAATACTAACAAATAAAAATGTTCTTTCTCTTTGGGTATAGTAGAAATTATATGAAATGTAGAGCTGGAAGTTCTTAATTCAGGTTTCAGCTCCACCAAATTCTGAATGTCTGATCACTGGTCTCAGCTTTCTTATCTGTAAATTTCAGTTAATAATGACGTATACACACATATATCATTATGATATATATGTATATGTATATATATTAAAACAATGGCATATATACACATATATATCACTATGATATATATATATATATATATATATTAATACAATTATATATATAATCATTTTAATAAATAATATATATATATATATATATATATATATATATTAAAATGATGTGGTGGTTTTGAAAGCACTATATACATAGAAATATTAGTTATTTTATTAACAGATTTCCTCCTTTTATGTGAGAGGACAAAAGAAATATTTTCATTGCTCAAAGGTTAAAAATGTCTATGAAGTATTTTGTTCATGATAGTAGAACTTTTCAAATATCTGTAGTTTGTTTTTATTAGTGATATGTCTGAAAGATACTGCACTCTTAATTTAGATGATACTGGCACAAATGTAATAGCTTTTTAATTTTTTTTTTGGTAGATGAACACAATACCTTTATTTTATTCATTTTTTTTAATGTGGAGCTGAGGATCAAACCCAGTGCCTCACACATGCCAGGCAAGCACTCTAATACTGACCTACCACCCCATCCTGAAATGGAGTTGTTTTTTTTTTTTTTTTTTACTTTACCATTTTATTCCTATTCCATTTTGAGTAGAACAGTCATTTAAAAAATTATTTAATTCTTTTTTTGGATAGTGGGTAAAAGTGGGTTTTTTCCTTTCTAGTATAGTAAATGCATGATAATTAAAATATCAATTGCAATAATATTTGTAGTGGCTTGCAAAATTTTAATTTTATTTACTTTGAATTACATAAAGAACTGTCAATAAAATTCTTCCACCTCTTTTGTAACTGAAACGTGCCATGAATCTGTGTATATCTGTGTATAGGCTGTTTCTGTTTGTGGTAATAATAATGTATACCAGAATTTCCACTTTGAACTTGGACCATTAAAGAGAATTTTCTAAAAAAAAAAAAAAAAAAAGAAAGAAAGAAATTACTCAAAGGTGAAGTTAGAGTTCAGGATGCAGTTAGGGAAGGGAGGTAGGAGAGGGTGGGCAGGCAGGCTGAGCTTAGGTGCAATGGGTATCAAGCCAAGAAAGAAGACCCAGGAGCAGCACTGGGTATTATAATGTCATATCCAGGGAAAGAACCTAGCAGGATCAAAGATTTTAGAAGGCTGAAAGAGCTCCATAAGTTATTTTCTGCCTGGTCTCAAAATTATTACTCATAGTAGTAAATCAAAGGCCATCAGATGAGTAAGGTAAATAAGATATCCAAAGTCAGAACCAGATCATTCCTCAGGAGAATTATTTATATCATGAATCCCAACTATCTTTCTTCATGGTTCATAAAAGAATCAAATAATTTTCTCATTAAAACAAATACCTGGAATTTGGTATATATATATATATATATATACTTGTCCAGGCTGGCAGTACTCACCATTGGAAAATTAAACCTCTCCTGAATGGAAAAGCTAAGATCTCAACTTGAAACATGAACTCTGTGGCTGAAATGCAGCCTTCTTCCTTTGTAGAAGTGCTCAGATCCCAATTGGTTGTAATACTTTTGCCTTCAATAGCCAGGCCAAAGTGCTGTAATGCTATCCTCAATGAAAACAGAGGGAAGATGGTCCCACGTTTAATGTTTTCTAATCTGCTCTGTATCAGAAAGATGTCTGAGGGTCTAGGTTGTAACCATACACTTTCATTAAAAAACAATCACCTTACCCTCAATATGTCAAAATGTTATCAGGAAGCCCTGCATCTGAAATCTGATGTCCAATCGACTGCCTAAAGCGTTCTCCTTCTCCACTGTCCTATCTATTTCAGTAAAATGAAACCCTATATTTATTGACATTTCCTTTCACAAGACATTTCCTTTCAAGATATGTTCTTCTCATACCAGCAGAGGGAGGCCTGATCCACTTCCTGAGCTTTGAGACTGCTCAATTAAGTCTCTCAGGGATTCTCCAGGAGGAATGTAAGTTCCATCCTGTTCCAGCCCAATGCTGTACCGAGGTCTGGTTTCTTGTCTTTTATACCTAAGGATAGACGATTGGGATAATTTTAGAAACTGAAATGTACTGACACAGATAAAGCATTGCAGATAAACACTAGTCACAGCAGGTTTGATTTTATCACAAAAATGCAAGACAAGATCAAATGTTGCCCTTAGTTAAGGTTTCTAAAATACAAATCTTAAATTTGACTGATTTTTTAAAAATAAACTTCATGTTTTTTACACAGTGTCAACCATTTACAATTTTTCTGCTTCTTTCAACTGCACTTCTATATTCTGTTAATATTTCCACATAGTTTCAATATTTATTCCCTAAGTTATTTTCCTTTTAATTATAATGTTTTCAATTAGAACATGAATTTATTTGAATCAATTCATTGACACATTTGCAGAGTATCATAAATGAATATTAAATTGCTCAAAAGACAAATGACATGGGTATAAAGATCTTTCATATTTCATAAACTAGAAAATAAGTTCTTAGGTGACTGCAAATAGTTTGTAGCTGTCATACTTTATTATAACAACTTTTTATTTTAACATTTAATCTATAAATTATATTTAAAATCTTTTATATGGGAAATTTTTAGCTCAAGAAATATGGAATAAATTGAACTACTCAAAGTTCAGCGTAGTCCTTGCTTTACTTAGAATCAACCTGAGCAGTAATCAGTCCTGGAACTTCCCTCTGATTTCCTTAGAGATGAAATATTTATAAGAATAGTTTTGATGTCTGAAGTAGAAATGAGTTGGGTACCTATTTATAACTTCATTAGGATAAATATTTGTCAATAGTTTCAAATATTTTAAGTCTAAAGTCCAATTAGACCAAGGAAAGCTTCAATGAAGAAGATCAATAGAAAAAAATGGTAGAATATTAGTTTATGAAAGGTACTATGAATGCCAAATTCCATATCTACATGTTAGAAACTTACCTGAAGTAACAAAATAAAATGATAAGGACCAATAGCAAACTACAGACAGTCACAGATATAAGTAAGGCCTTGTGGTGTATAGATCCATCAACAAAATCTGAAATTAAAAAGAGAGTCATGATATGGAGAATATTTTTACTTAAAATGAGGAAATAACTTTTTCTCAAAAGTACTTGCTTAAGCAATATATCCAAGATATGAAAACACTTTAGCATGACAACTGATTAAAAATATATAGACACTCAAAACTACATGTTTGACTTATGTCAATCATCCTTCACGTAGACACATTTCAACAGCACATATTTCCTCTCTGGAAGGAACGGACTTGGCACAGGATAAACCCATGGAGAGAACAGGACAAGAGCAAATGGATGTCCTTCATGAATACAATTTTTTACAAATGGAAACACACTATAAAAGAATGAATGTGTTCTTGCCAAAGAATATGTGAAACTTTTAAATGATATTATATATTATTAAATATATATAATATAGAAGTTATAATATAAAAATACATTAAATATATTCACTTTGTCTTAACTCTCATTCTTGACAAACCATATTTACTTAATGCTTGTTTTCTCAAACTTTGTATGAGTAAGAATGACAGAAAGACATTCAATACAAATGCTTATTTACATTTATGACTGTGTGTGTATGGGTTTTTGTTTGTTTGTTGGCTGGTTGGTACTGGGGATTGAAGGCAAGAGCACTTTACCACTGAGCTACATCCTAGCCTTTTTTATTTTGAGATACAGTCTTGCTAAGTTGCTGAGGCTGGCCTCAAACCTGCAATCCTCCTGCCTTAGCCTCCCAAGTCATTGGGATTACTGGTGTGAGCCACCACACCCAGGTAATTTTTATGCAGTGGTTGCTGGGCCATATTTTGAGCAAAATGACTTAAAGCCATGTGCACTGTACTCATACAGTAACAGAATAAGTACTGTTTTTGTTAAGGGCAACATTTACCTTGAGAAGAGTTATTATTGTCTTTTATTACAAGTGGAGATTTTCCAACTGTGTATCTTTACAAATATGGCCACCCAAACAATTTCTTTGGATGAAGTTCTTATCCCACCCAATGTTACTTTTTTTCCATTAAAAAAGTATATGTTATATGAAGAAAAACTAAAAAGCATCAATTAACTAAAGTTAAAAACAAAATCACTACCTCATTACCACACAGGAGAATTTATAGCCAACAGTTAAGTACATGCCATCTTGGTATCATTGTAATGAATAAAAAAATTCATAAGCAAAATCATTCAAAAATGGTATAATATATTGCATTATAGATTATTTTCATTTATAATATTGTGAACATTTTCCAAAACAACAAGTGTTTGTTTTTTTTCTGAAACATGATTTAAAGACTACATATTATTATATGTAGGGACATCCTAATTAGCCAGTCTTCTCTTGTTTATTTAGGAGATTTCAAAGATTTTGCTTTAATACTTCTTTATTATAATAAATACAATCCTATAGTAAGTAAACACATATGTCTTGGCACATGTCAATGCTTATTTCTTTGGAATTCCTATAATAATTATTAGGTCAAAGGACATATATTTCAAGTCATATTGTCAAACATCCTTTAAAAAAAGACTGCATTATCAATGTAAGAATGTTTTAACTATTTTGAAAAGATTTCAGCCTTACAGAGAATCTATGAGAATAAACAACTCCAATATGCTAATTATTCTCATTGTTAAAATTTTATATTTGTTTTATAATTCTCTTGCTCTATTAGTGTCCCATACGTGTGTGTATCAGTATATACACACATACGTATACATATATTTGCATTTGTATTTATTTAATTTTGTATGTCTGTATTATTTTTTAACTATATAAAGTTGCAGAATAACACTCCTATCCACTTGTAAATACTTCTAAAATGAATGTTATAATTTACTTAAGAGTCTAAAATATATGTTTAATAATTATTTATGATCCATATGACTATTTATGAAAGTTGTCTATTTCTCAAAAGACTAGATGATGAACATTAAAAACAAGTAGTTTTATATTCATAAATTCAGAAATGTTGCCAATAGTCCAGGATAAAGGGGTTCAGAACTTAACTACTAAAGTACTCTGCAAAAGCCACGCCAGCTTTAAAGCAGTGGAACATATGCAATAGCAAGTGCATTGTCTAAAATGCACTACTTAGCAAATCTTGAAAATAATTTGTAGATTCTTAAAATTAGCAGGCTGAAATTTTGAACAAAAATTATTTCAGTAAAATTTTCCTCCATTTCCTATGTATAAATAAAAAAAAACTGTAACTAGAAACTTAGGTTAAAATGTATTCCCAGTTTTAAAAGTAAGAAAAGTTTGATTTTGCAGAAATTCAAAAAGAATGCTACTCAACTAAAACTACAGAGGTTCACATAATCACAACACATTTTCAGTATAAGGACACAAAACTCTTTTTAATTCCAGTGATGCAGTTTTACTAAAATTCTCACCTTCCCTTGTCTTTTATTTTTCATGTAAATGATGAGTACAGAATACACCCGAAACTGCAATAACACTGTATTTACTTCTCATTTCATGATCTTTCTGGTTTGTGAAAACAATGAGACCACAAAGGCTCTAAGAGGTTCTCTCCTTACTAATAAGCTCTTTCTCTAAGGCTAGTTTTACCTCCCTTTTCACATTTTTTTTTTTTTTTGGCCCCAATACCCTAGTGCCTGCAGCCTCCCTGTCCATCCCCCTGTCTCTCCTCATGAACAGGTGATCCTTAGCAATACACCTTTTGTCACACCAGTCATGTTTTAATCTACCATTACCTGGGCTCAGAGCATTAACAAATGTAAACATTCAAGTCTCTGCCAGAGTCTCCAAAGCCAACAAGGCCAGATACCCATCAGGAAAAGAGCAGAGCCCACAGATCTCTCTGGGCAGCTTATTTCTACCTGTACTGTCACTCCAACTACTCAGGAAATGGAACCAAGAGGTCTCCAGGGATGTCTAACTGATTCCAAGAGGCAAGTAAGGATCATCAGCAACTTCGAAACAAAACAAAACTGCACTTGTCACTACTAATGACCCAGCAGAGGAGTAGTTAGGAACTCCTCAGGCTGACAGGACTGTGTTTACAGGACTGGAAGGTGGTTCATATTTGCAACATGAAATAAAAAGGAAAAAAAAATCATACAGCTAGAAAGGATCTTGGAAAATAATCACTTGCCCAAAGATATCTTTTCAAGCACTCTAAGTATTAATGATTATGGATAAATAGGAGATATCATCCAATCAATACAGTATAAAGAATTTAAAAAGAATAGTCTTGACACACAATGTTAGTAATAACATTATATATTTACTTTTATCATATATTGGGATTTCTTTTTACAGTTAAATCTAGATTTAAATTCTTCTTAAGAATAAAAACAATATTCTAGTTATTCTCACATATAAAACTGTTTAGGATCGTATCTCCTGATAATAAAGGAGATTTAAGAAACAACTTTTATATCCAAATTCCTGTATGAGAATGGGGGGGATAAGTTAATTACCTCTGAATTCCTTTCATCTGTCTTACACACAAATTTAATCCAAATTTCGCAGATAGGAATTGAGTGTTTATTTTATTATATTTTGGGGGGGGGCATGAGGGGACAAATACCAATATATCTTATGTACACTGGTAAGAAAAGACAGAGACATAGCTGGCACAAAACCCAGTCATGTGTCATTCTCAAGAGCTGCCCAGTTGGAAGGCAGTTCTACCCACTTTAACAATTGCCCCTTTTTGCAGCTCCTCCAAGTCTGAATGGCCTCAGGGTAGAGGAGTTCTCCTTGCCTTGGCCACAGTTCAAGGACTGGGCCTCTCACCAGCCTGCTCTCCTGATGCCAATTCTGCACAGCCCACAGCTTCCTAGATACAGGTTCCCACAAGAGTTGAGCCACTCAGCAGCTACCTCAGGAGGAGATCCATGCAGAGTGAGAAACCAGGACTAAAGGGGCCGGCTGTTGAGTAGCCTTTGGTGTCCTGGGCCAGTCCACAGACCGTGGCGCATCTCTCTAGTTACAGATCATGAGCATGGTCCCCTGCATGTTTGAGTGGCTTTGGACATCTGCTCGGCTTTCCTGAGCCATCTCTTCTTCAGTGCCAGTCACAACAGCCTATGCTTATTCACAGCAAGAACACACAGTGGGCACCAAAGGAGCGAAGCATTGCAAGAAATGTTAGCACTACTCCCTGGCAAGGAACTGAGCTCAGTCTCGTATACTGGTCTACAATACTGAGGGCACAACCTGCACAACAGAAGGTCTATTCTGGGCTCCCCTTCACATGCTGTACACTAGCATACATTCGATCTGTTGAGGAGAATATGGATGTTTCACTAGTTAGATGCCTTTACCTACAGACTTTAGTTTATAATTGGCAATATCTAAAGGACAGCATTTTATTTACTTACTTGTTGGCTTATTTATTTGTACTAGGGATCTAACTTGGGGTGCTCTTCCACTGAGCTACATCCCCAGCTTTATTTTATTTTTTGAGACAGGGCCTAAGTTGCCCAGGTTGGCCTTAAATTTGTTATCCTCCCACCTCATCCTCTCAAATCACTGAGATTATAGATAGGTGTATACCACCATTTCTGGCATGTCAGGGATAGCATTTTAAAATAAATCTGTAAGCTGCTCACATTATATTTATTAAATGGAAAAATAATTTTCAACTTTGGAAATTCTGTATTATAATTTGACTGAAACTACATTAAAATTATCACATTCCAAAACAGAAGGTTATTTCTGAAAAATTTTCTATAAAGTCTATATGTAGTATATGAGTAATTTCAATATTTAAACATTAAAACCCACACCAAATTTCTTCAATTATAGAAATTTTGTTTTTTCAAAAGCCAAATCAGCATCTTACTTAATAAAGCAAGAGCTTCTATTTATTTTCATTTTGACACTGTTATCATTTCTTTAAGTGTTCATTAAAAATAAACAAATGCTGCTATAAACCGGGTGTGCTGGCAGATGCCTGTAATACTGGCGGCTTGGGAGGCTAAGGCAGGAGGATCACAAGTTCAAAGCCAGCCTCAGCAAAAGTAACTCAGTGAGACCCTCTCTCTAAATAAAATACAGAATAGGGCTGGGGATGCGGCTCAGTTGTCGAGTGCCCTGAGTTCAATCCTGGGTAACAAATAAATAAATCAATGTGACTTAAGAAGTAATTTTGGGATGAGGGACTTCTTCACATCCTCCTTCACTTCAGAACAGACATTTCTTCTCATTTCTATTCTTACCACCAGCTGCAGTGTTACTAGGCTTCTGAGTCATATTTTGTTTTTGATGAAGGTGTTGGAGTTGATCTAATTATTTTTCATATTTCCTCATTCTTGAGAAAGAATATTATCCTAAGGTATTTTGCTTTGCTGGTGCTGCAGTGAAAAATAAGCAAAGCAAATTGTGTCACGCACAGGCTGTGTAAATTTGATGAAGTTAACCTTTTTGTATATTGCAATTTCCTCGTCTTTAAAATGGGACCATCAGTCCTAAGTACTTCGTAGAGTTGCTGTAAGGTATAAATTGGGTCAGTTCACATAATACTCAGCACAATGCTTTGTTTACATTAGTCATTTTAGTTTTTAAATTTCACCCATGTAGCCTATCCTTCCTCACACTTAGGTAATTCTTGTTCATCTGTAAAGTCTTATTCAAGCGTCACTTCTACAAGGCTATTTTGATATCCTTCCACCCCAGAGCTAGCCACTCACTTTTTTATGTAACTAACATACTTTATTGTCTAACTCTATTATTGAAATATTTTCACCAAACCTAAGTCAATTATTTACATTTTCTTTCTCAAATTCTAAAGTATAGTTTGGAAAGCAAAAATTGTCTTTATCTATTTCTATATATCTTATTGCTTGAATTTTTTTTTAATTGTGAATTTTTGATGTGAATTCTTTTTCTTTTTAAGAAATAAAATCATTTCCTCATGCTCTTCCTCCCTGTTCTGTTCTTAGTTGCTCTCTTTATATCAAAGAAGACATTTGGCATTTGTTTTTTAAGGATTGGCTAGCTTCGCTTAGCATAATCTGCTCTAATGCCATCCATTTCCCTGCAAATTCTATGATTTTGTCATTTTTTAGTGCTGCGTAATACTCCATTGTGTAGTGGGGGGAGAGTAAGGGAGAGAGAAGGGAAAGCATATGGAAATGGTAGGAGACCCTCAATGTTACACAAAATTACATATAAGAGGTTGTGAGGGGAAGGGGGGGGAACAAGGGAGAGAATTGAACAACAGCAGATGAGGTAGAGAGCGAAGATGGGAGGGGAGGGGAGGGTGGATAGTAGGGGATAGGAAAAGTAGCAGAATACAACAGTCACTAATATGCCATTATGTAAAAATGTGAGTGTGTAACCGATGTGATTCTGCAATTTGTATTTGGGGTAAAAATGGGAGTTCATAACCCAATTGAGTCAAATGTATGAAAGATGATATATCATGAGCTTTGTAATGTTTTGAACAACCAATAAAATACAAAAGAAATAAAATCAGCCAGGTGTGATGTAGCACACTTGTAATCCCAGTGACTTGGGAGTCTGAGGCAGGAGGATCACAAGTTCAAAGCCAGTCTCAGCAACTTAACAAGGTCCTCAGCAATTCAGTAAGACCCTGTCTCAAAATAAAAAATAAAAAGGGCTGGGGGTATGGCTCAGTGGTTAAGTGTTCCCTAAGTTCAATCCCCAGTACAAAAAAAAAAAAGGAGAAAGAAAGAAAATCCACCATGAAGGATCCCTTGAACCCACTTATATAATACTTAGGAATCAAGACCACAACAATACAAATAATTTATTTGTGTGAGAACAAAGAGGAGAAAGGAAACATGGGAGTTGTTTTTAATACAAAGTCTTTGGGGATTTAATATCTTTTTTTTCAATGAGCAAAACTTAAATGTATAAGTTTTAAAGTTAAAACTTATAAACATCATCCCTATTTTATCAGTCTATTGATATATGATGACTAAAAATTACTCTAGCATTGATAAAATGAAATGTCATATAGCAAGTGATCTTTTATTTAGTCTTTTATAAGGTCTTTATTTTAAAATCAAGGAAGCCAAATGGTAGTTTTCAAGTTAAATACAACTTCTGAATACCTTTTGTGGGTAAGCATGAAGTACCATCTCCCTCTGCTCTCCTGAGACACCCTGCAAGCTCTAGGAACTACGACTCTGGGAGGGAAGTGGGGAGAAGTTAAAGCAACACACATCCTAAAAGTGGAATCACAGGCAACTACTGTCCCCAGAACTGTCTGCATGCCTCTCTGAGTGACAGGTTCATTATGTTATCTTGTCTCAGCCCTCCGTTTCAGCTCTGGAAAATGTTGCAGGTAGAAGAGCTGGAAAAAGAAAAAATGCTTCCCATGTTCATTTTTACTGTGCCCAAGCTTTGCCAGCCTGAAAGTCACCTTGGCCTTACCTCTGTTTTTCAGTGGAGGCAAAGTAGGGTGGAGGTCTTTATTACATTCATTCCTTTCTGTGCAGCATTCAATTGATCTTCTTTGATGAGGAATAGGAGTGTCCTAAAATTGAACCCAAACAGCTTTAAGTGAGTCTCCTCTAAATTTCAAACTCAGTTCATCTAAAATATAAGAAACGATTACTAAGAGAACTCATTTAAACATCCAATAATTTTCTACAAACATCTTGAAAATGTTAGTTTGTATCAGATAATTCATTTCAAATTATTGTATATTATTGCAACTTCTGCATTTCAGTCAAATTACCACTATATTTGTAATAATCAGTGTCCATAAACTGAGGAAAAAGTATTGGTTTAATGCAATTAGATAAAATGGATTTTGAAGAATATGAACTAATGACACACTAACAAGAAGTTAACAAAACTAAAAAGGGCATTTCAAAAAAAAAGGAGAATTGGTCCAATGAGAATTTTTAATTACTTTCTAGGTTACTAAAAATGGGCTAGCCATGAAAAATAACTATTTTGTCTTACTTGAATCTTGGTAGAAATACAGCCAATGCAAAATTACAAATGAAATCAGGTTATCTTCCTTACCCGACACTGAAAATCTGAACCTTCTAGTCCTAGGCACCCAGAAGTGACCACAGGCATCCCAGAGTCGTCTTCCTCTATCATTGTGAAACAATATCCGTCTGTGCTAAAAGCAAAACCAGCAGAAAGACACAGAGAGAGAGAGAGACAGGTGGGGAGGCAGAGGGAGAAAGTCTGTGAGTTCAGGGAAAGCAAAATACATGACATGTATCATTTGCCTCATTATAAATAAGGAGAAAGTCAATGATCTTTATAAGTTACACACTTTGGAGAATCTCAAAACTTCCCTTTTATGAAAGTAAATTTAATTATCATAGAAACATTTAGTAATATCTTCTCTACCTAGAAATTTGTGCAACGGGATGTAAAATGTCCAAATAGCACATATCATTAATTAACATGGATATCCATATATACCATTGATGAACTTTGGCCCTTCACAGATACCACTTGCCTGGAGAAATCAAGACATAAAACTCTGAGGAAGTAATACCATCCTCACCTTTTATGTGAGAAAACTGAGGCTCAGAGAACATGAGTCATACAGTCAGTGAGAGAAGGCAGGCAGGAGTTGGAACCCATGAAGGTGAATATTTAGGCCGGCTCCCCTTGGCCTGAGGTAGTGAAGTAAACTTATTATCAATGAGGTATGACAACTACAGACAGGTAGGAGCCAGTCCAGCAGGGCACAACTTAGGTAGCAAAGACTCCACCATTGGGTTCCCTGTCTCTGGGTTGGCCAGAAGTTTGGCTTAAGCAGTCTGGGCTTATGCTGGGAGTGGATAAGGGCAGACAACAGAAAGACGGGGTTTTGACAAAACAATCAAAAAAAGCAAATTTTTAATTTCTATGTTTTCCTAGGTTAAAATTCACTAATGTCATATATTTTTTTGAACAAGAGAGAAAATAGTAATATTTCTTCTATTTTACAGATGAAGAAATTGGAGATAGAGAGAATACTACACTTATATAAGGTTGAAAGATAAATATTTGCAAAACCAGGGTTTGGATAAAGGCTCTCTTACTTAATTCCCGCATAATTTTTTGCTATCCTGGGACTAAAATGAAAAACAAGAACTGGTAAAAATATAACTATTTGAAAACAGACATTACTGTCTTCACAAGTTTGGGTAATAAATGCCAGTAGACTCCCAGTGTAAGCCATAAGCCACTACTGCAGGTCTTCTGAATCAAAGTACTAAAACATATCTACATTATTTTCTTACACATATGCATGCTCAGTGTCCAAGATGGAGATGACAATAGTCCTGAAAGGTCAGGGAAGGAAGCTTGGAGCATATATTAGCTGTGATTTGTAGTTTGTCTGTTCTGTCTTAGCGGTAGCAGCATTCTGCCATACATAAGCCCTTCAGTTATCATCAACATTTTTAGAAGTGTTTACTCAGCTTATCACCCTCAAGCAATCCAGCATGCCTCAGTTTATAAGAAGTAGCTGAGCAAAGTTCACACATACTAATGAATGGCTTGGAAGGGTCAATGATAAATACCTTTGTCAGACGAAGGTCAAATGCATGAATATTACTGAGAAGAAAAAAAATTCTCTCAATAGCCCATGTTCTAAATTCTCTGGGGCTTTTTAGCCAGTTCACTAAAATTGCCAGGAAAATGTAAACCATATAGATGCTGAAGGTAATAAATAAGTGTTCCTTAGAAATTTAAACAATTTGAGTGAAAAGTACTCATATGGTTTTTAAAATTCTTTTCCTACATACTTAGATGATATATAACCTACATTTCTTATCTAGATTCAGGAACTATCAGAAATAAGCCATCCTAATTTTCTGACATTAGGAATTCATAGGGGCTATAGCAGTCAATGTAATATATTAAATCTACAGAATAGTTTCTCCTTAATCATGAGTTCCTGTTAATCAAAGTCTGAAAATAAGGACTTGTAAATTTATAAGAGTAAAAAAAGGGGAGAGGGGTGCTGTGCCTGGTGGCACATGCCTGTAATCCCAGTCACTCAGGAGGCTGAGGCAGGAAGATCACAAGTTTGAGGCAAGCATAAGCAACTTATGGAGGCCCCCATCTCAAAATAAAAAATAAAAAAGGCTGGGGATGCAACTCAGTGGTGGTGCAAACCTCTATGCTTATTTTCTTTACACCAGTATTGCCAAAAAAAAAAAAAAAGAATTAAAAAGGCAATAGAAAAATCAGATAAAGATGTTGGCAAGTACTGTTGTAATGCCCTAGAAAATACAAAACTGAAGGAGAATAACTCAAGCTTTAAATGTACACCTCCTTGTTTGCAAAGAGAGGAATCAAAAAATATATAAAAGGATGGTGAAAGAGAGAAAGACTCTGGAGAAAAGAATTCATTTGCCATCAATATAAATTCAGAAAGGAATATTAGTTGAAGAACAAGAAAGAAGGTGACAGAGCCATTTTGGGGCATATTATCTGCAGCAAGCTAAAGTAATTTATAAATTCCTCACTGAAACTGCTGTCTAGCAAGGAACATTAACTGGAAACTAGCTTGAGAATCACAGGAGAGCTTTCAATTCTCAAACAAGCATAAATCTAAACCAACCTATGCTCCAGAGTCAAAGCTGATCAACTCTGCCCACCATCAAGAGCTGGTCGCTGGATGTCACAGAGGGCAACTGACTCCTCCCATTGGCTTATTGATGTTACACTGCCTGGGTGACCTATTTAAACTTAGTTCTGTGTGTGTAGATTATCAGCCTCATTCCTACAGTGTTGATAGTGACAGGAAGAGGAAATGAAGAATCATAATGGAAATCAAAATAGAAATAATTTTAAAACCAAATCAAAAGTAGTGAGATGTATACATTAATATAGGATGAATCACGATGAGAGTGGTGATCATGAATTTTTAAAAATAGAAGAACAACAGATGTACCATTTTTAAAATTCTGCCCCCTCTGGGTCACAGGCAAAGAAAAGTACACAACGAAACAGGATAGCACTTGAGAGCATACAGAGTGTTGCTGATGGATGCCTCACGGAACACCAAATTCATAAAAAAGCAAAGAATGTGAGAATTCAAAGGTTACATGAGGTCACAGCAGGGAAAATATAGCTCAACTCTCCAGAAGGTTCTGCAGGATTAAGGCTTCTTAAATTTGACCAATATTCTAAGAGCAAAAGGGTGTCTGGAACATCTAGAAAGATCATCAGGGGAGTAATCACTTTAAGAGATTTTTCAGTGTGTCCAAGTGAACATAAACCAACAAGAAAGGAGTGCACCTGCTTTAAAGCTTCAAGGGACTAAATGATATGCTTTTTAGGTGGATATGCAAGTAGAGACTGAGGGTTTTTAATTCCTCTCATTTCTGGTCACATCAGTTTATAATCCTCATTCATGAGCTTTGTAGATGGTGAAAAACTTCATACATCATTTAAAACTGCACTGACAGCATTGTGATTTAACGTGAGTACAGTGTGTACAAGGCTCATCCAAGCCTTGGTCCCTTCAACTCTATTCTTCCAGTAAGACCTCAGGTCTCTCTTTTGAAAACCCAAGGGCTGCTCACAGCCACCAAGCTGAGAAGGCACTATCGTAAAACTTTTCCTCTAACTAGTTTAAATCTTTATAAAGATTAACGTCGCTGTGAAATAATTTCTAAAAGTGTATCTGCTTTGCTCAATCAAGTGACTGAAAATTTAAAAGTATTATTTCAAATTTAGCCTCTACAAAAAAATAATTATATAAATGGGTGCAATAGGTTCAATATCACCTACCCAAAGAAATAACAGTTCTCTTGACTAATCAGTATTTATCCTTCTCTCTTTTAGTTATAATACTAGAATTCATAAAGTTAGTTTGAATGTAATTGTTAGAATGGATCTTTGAAGGCTGGTTAATATTGGGTCATTTGTAAGCAAATGCTTGAGAGCATCCTATCTTCAAAAATATCAATTTCATATGCAAGGGAATAAAGTAAGTTTTCAAAATTTCCTGTCACAGGTAAACTCAAAAGAGGTATACAGCTTGTCAAGTTGCTATTTATATCATGCACATTTCAGTCCATTAACTAAACAGCTGGAAATGCAGAGAGCTTTTCGTTAATGGTGGTTCATTTGATATTTGTTGAGAATACTATGACTCTGGCTGAGTTATGGCAAGAATGTCAGGGCAAGAACGACGGGGCCTTTGATTTTGAGCTAAGTGACATTAGAGTAACTAATACAGGCCACCAAATCCTAAAAGAAAGAACAGCATTCAATGGAGCAGTGGGAATAGAAATCACAAGCCACCTAAGTGTTTTCTACCAATTAGAAAGTTTAAAAAAAAAAGATGAACAGTAATAATTACCAAAGCAACAGAATTCTAGAGATTTGTTTCCCTTCCTTAACTTCTTAGATAGATTCCCATACAACTGGAAAGGAATGGAATAAAATATATATGGCTCTACTGTGCCCTCCTCTGGCTTTTTCTCTGAGAGGGCTGTGCAGTTGGAAGGTGCAGTTGCATTAATGACAAAGCCCCAGTGGGGGTTGCCTTTTTGTATTCTGTCCTCAAGAACATGTAACTAGCATACACCCCTCCTCCCTGGTCAACACACTAAATGACTTAGTATTGTGTTTATTTTTTCTGACATATAAGACTTCTCCACTCTGTCTCAGTTTATACACTCATCAAATGCTCATATATTTTTACCTCCACCACCCTGTGCAGATCCCCACTGTCTCTTTGAAGGACTTCTCTCCTCTCTTAACCCTTTACCCACTGCACACAGCATTGCCTGATAGATTGTACATTTTCTTGCTTTGATCAATAACCTTCAATGGTTCTCTATGTACCATTTTAAAGACTCCTACACTATTGACTTCTCATTAAGCCCAATAACAAACTGGCCTCATTTGACATTCTCATTTCTGATTAATGAGAGGCATAAAAGGAGAGTTATCTTTTATAAAGGCTCTGTCAGCAAATTTGAAATCACAGACTCTTTCAACTAAATAAATTTCTAATGAGGGACCCACCATTCTTCTGAGTGCAATAGTTTGAAATCAGCATGCTCTCCTGGAAAAGAATCATAAAGTTCAATGTTTAGGTGGCCTGGGCAACAGTGGCAAAAACTGGATGGCTTACAGTGATACTCAGCACACAAAGTA